AACGCAGCCGTCCGTTCAACTCTCCTATATGGCTGTGAAACCTGGCCCATCAGGTCGACAGACATGAAGAGACTCGTCACATTCGATCATCGCTGCCTTCGCAGCTTAGCTCATGTCTGGTGGGAACACCGCGTGAGTAATGAGCGTGTTCGGCGTCGCGTATTTGGTGCAGGAAGAGCGGGTGAACCGCTCAGCACCATTATATCACGCACCAGGCTCCGATGGCTGGGCCACGTGTTGCGCATGCCAGCACACCGACTCCCGCGACGTGCATTGTTTGCGCGTTGTGGGTGCGGTTGGAAGAGGAGGAGGGGAGGCCAAGTGATGACTTGGTCGCGAGAAATGAAAACCCTCACTTCGAAGTTGGCGTCGGTTGGTGCATCCCGATTGCCTGGCTGGGGTCCTAAGGACGGTGAACACGTTTGGTTGGACACACTTGCTGATATGGCTAGGAGCCGGCCCCAATGGCGTTTGTGTTGTGAGTTCCTTTGTCCACCCCCTCCTGTTTAGCATCCCCCTCCAATCACGATCTCAATCGTTAGGCATAATATGACTTTCTTTTACGGCAGCTACCTGTTAGCTCTCCGGAACGATGTCCATCCGTTACTGGGGACTCAGCGGGCGTGCCACTGTCTGTTTTTCTTTTCTTGCCTTTTGTATTGCGGCACAATAGCTGAGGTGTTTTCCACCTCCAGCTAACTTGTAATGATGATGATGATGATGATGGCGGCGGCGGAACTGTGTGGACCGCTGATGATGGTGTTTCAGTAATCACTTGACTACTGTACCTTACCTGCTGAATGGAAGGAGGCTGTCATCTGTCCTATCCTCAAAAATGGAAATAGGAGTCAGTCAATTATAGGACAGTCAGTCTGACTAGCGCCGTAGTCAAAGTGTTTGAGAAGCTAGTGAGTGATTCATTGGAAGGTCACCTGAATAATCTACTCAGTTGTGCGCAACACGGATTCCGGAAGGGGTTTTCTTGTCTGACGAATTGGTTGGTCACTCGTGAACCTTGTACTGAGACAGTGAACAATGGCCACGTAGTGGACGGGCTTCTTGTCAACTCGAAAGCATTTGACACAGTACCCCACTTGAGTCTATCACAAAAGCTGAGCTCCCACGGTGTACCTGGCCGCGTCTTTCACTGGGTATCTGCATACTTGCAGCGAAGAGAACAATGTGTACCCATAGGTCGCAGCTTATCCTTTAGACAAGTGGCCTTTAGCGGTATCCCACAGAGTTCCGTCCTTTTACCGATGCTATTTTCTATCTATGTAAACGATCTCCTTTGGGCGCTTTAGGTATCATCACTATTATTTGCTGATGACCTAAAACTGTGGGATGTTGTAGGCGTCCCTGGGGGTTCTGAGGCCATTCAGCATGCCTTGGACAGGCCCTGGGACTAGCCTACTCTATGGATACTGCCCATTAATAAGGCAGTGTTCCGTTCTTAGTATAGGAGCAACTTTCCCACCTTCGAGGTACGTGTTCGGTTGTATCGTTATCCTCTTGTCTCCAACCAGCTAGACCTAGGCGTTGTCTATCTCTCCTCTTTGCATTCGGGTGACAATAATAACAATAACATCAATAATAATAATAATACGTAAATTTCTCTTGATGCGCATATCTTTGTCCGTAACAACACAGCTCGGTTTGTACAAAATAGTACCCATGCTCTCACATGGGTGACATGCATAAGTGGAACAATGCTGTATGTGTTTCATGCAGTTACGTTCCGGTGGATAGTTGAGGCAAAAGCCTAATTCTAGAAACTGATATTTAGATTTTTTGGGCTCCTTCTGGAACAGCTCCTCGAGGGACTTTTCCCATGTACATATAGGATGGTATTTAGGTCAGTATAATTGGTCTGCTTCTATATGTTACGACATTGTCACCCGACCTGAGTGAGATTGGTAGTTTATTCCACAGATAGCTATATTTGACCATAAAACGATTAGGGCGAATGTTCATTTTGGCCTTTGGCATATTCACTGCAAAATCTTTGTTGCGGAGCGCTCTAGTTTAGCTATGTTGTAATTCGAGTGTAGGCAGCAACAAGTTGTGCTTCACTCGTCGAATCCAAAGTGGTTCGAGTTAGAGTTGATTGCAACGTTCTCGACACCTCATAGCAGAGTGCTTACCAATGAGATGTTTGGTAATTGCTCTCTACAGGTACTCCACTTCAACTCTGTCACGCTTTCTCATATTGCCGTAGATTATGCTGCAGTATTCGAGGGTGGGGCTGGTGAGTAGCTTGTAAGGCTCAACTCTAACATGGCTCGTGTGGGTTTTGTTTGACATATTGAACATAGATTGTCTGGCACGTGGTACTTGATATTGGGCCTGTTCGGAGAAAAGAAAGGTAGACAAGTACCTAATTCCAAGATTGCGCGTTTACAGCTGTGAAGGGACATGTTCATTATTTGGGGTGCTAGATCCTTCGGGCATTTAGCAGCCGTAAGACATGATGATCGATTTCTTAGCCGAGGTTCATCACCTGCTTGTGGCACCATGACTCAAGTGAATGTAACTCATCTCGAATGAGCAGTAACGTTCCGTGAAACTCGTCACGCCATAGCTTATAGACGATCTTGCTATTGTCAGCAAATAAAGTTGGTCGACCATGTTTCACTGTGGTGATGTCATGGATGTAGAGCAGAAAGAGTGAAGGATCGAGCACGCTCCCTTGAATGACCCCACTGGTGATGGAGTGTGGAGGAGAGCGATAGTTACATAAGGTGACAACCTGATCACGACCACTCTGGTATGATGATAGTCAACCTAGTAATGGATCCCGAATCCCAAAGTTCTCCAATAGTCGCTTGTGAGGTACGCGATCAAATGCTTGGTGTGTCAAACAAATTTACTATCGCATCGCCGGAATTCATCGATTTTGAAATGTGGTTCAGGTAATGCCGTTGGCAGGTGGTGCACGATTGCTTGTTATGAAAGCAGTTTATCTTACGGGTTGCGAGTGGCGGTATAGTTGCGAGTTTAGTGATCATTTTAATGTGAAAACTGTGTCTGATCATTTTATGTTCGCTGCCAGGGAGATTGTTCAAGATCTCGGTTTATGAGTTTGGTATCCCCAAGGTGAAAATTGAGTCCAATACATTAGCGGACCTGATTATACCTTAACCCATTGTGTCCAACCCCCTGCTCTAATGGAAGAGAAAAGTGGTGTGCAAGGTAGACCTTGAGTGGAATGACCAGCGTATTTTCGGTAAGTTGAACTCACCGGCACTTATCTTCTGGTTACGTGGCATCCCTAACGCGAAGTCAACTGCAAACGGGGTGTCGATGATACGTTAGGCACATTCGATGAGTTGTAGATACATGCGAACAGTATGTAAGATGAAGCACCTGCAACTGACAGTCAAATTGGTTGAGTAATTGTGAGAGGTTTATATGTTCAGCTGTAAGTTTATAATACACCCTTCACCTTTACTGTCGCGATTTTTTCGAAATAGGTGGTAGCTTGGATTCATCAGAGTCAAGCGTATCTGAGGAGTGCCATGTTTCAGTGGTGAGCATCGCTTGGGGGTCGTTAAACTGTACAAGTGTGTTTATAAAATGAAGTTTGTTGATTACGGATCTGGCATTAAGCACTCATTGAAAACATAATATGTATTTGCATGATCACCTGAGTGTTTGGTTTCGAGCATGGTGCAAATGGTAAGTGGGAGTATGGTGTGCCCGAGTTAGCCGTTAGAACGTTGGCTGATAAGGACTGTCATGTGTAATTGTCGAGACAGTGGGCACGACGGAACCGAGGCATCGTGTTTAGGCTGCCATTGGTTTGGTAATGAACTAGCCTTGTCATCTGGACAAATTGGACGCAAAGTGGGATCAAAATGACTGGGAATGGGTGCGAGTCCATTTCCCTCGTTACTAAAAAGTGGCTGTTGGAAGAGGCCGCGTGAAAGGTTTAAGGAACATGGATAGGAGCAGGTGGTAACAAAGTCCTTAGCAATCCGTGAGAATATTTATATATCGGGATGCGGATGTCCTTGCATCTTCTATGCACTTCTAGTTATTGTTGTGGAGTGTGCAATGATAAATAGGCGTAGCCAAGGGACCTCATTCAATTGGGAAGGTTGTTTCCATGGTGTTTGCTAGGGAATTTTGGGTGCATTCGAGTATTTAGTAGCCGTACGTTTTTTAATGCACTGATTCTTGGGTTGTATAAGTCGTCCGTAGGCGACAGTGAACTATGAATTACGTCGGGTGGTCTATTCTTGGACATGTTTTTGTGGTTTGGACCGGATTGTGATATATTTGTTAGATGCCGCTTATTAAGGTGCCATCACCCCGTGGATGTGCCACTTTTAAGCCAACTTTTCCAGCCATTTGAAACGAATTACAGTTTGTTAGTACGGGGTTGCGCTAGAAACGCAAATCATAGTGCTCCGTACATTTTGATTTGCTAAGTGCATGTAAGTAGCACCCGTATCCATTTCCACCACTGCTTATGAATTTCACTCTGGTGGAAACGCTTTGCTCCAGACTCCAAAGCGCGTTGTAGCTTTTATATATATATATATATATATATATATATATATATATATATATATATATAGCATACATTCTTATGTACTATCTTCTATTACTGAAGTACCAATGAACTTTACATGCGTCTCTGATGAGCCGTCGTTCCACCGTTGACCACTTACCCTCTATTTTTCTGGTGCTTCAATGGGACTTTTAGCATATTGCTAATTCATTATCATTTTGTTCAGATCCCTACTATTTCAGCCTTCACTAAGACTACTGACAAAACAAAAGCGAACGCCCAGCCTCGCGTTCTGCTATACTTTTTCTCAGTTTTTGTTCTGGTTTGCATGTGTTGTGCATATTGCTTATGCGGCCAATGCTAATCATTTTGTCAGTTATTCGGCCCGCTGTAAAAATAACATGGTGACCCTCTCTTAGACCTATTGCCATAACTTTCTGCACACTTTAGTTTCACCTTTTGGTGTATTGGAATGTTTCTCTATATGCCTATTTTTTTACCTTCTTTCACAAAGCTTGTTGGACTTGCGGTTCTCGGATTTTCTGTCTACGTCTCACAAGAACCTGAAGCGCAAGACATAATCCGTGCATCTGGTCAATATTTGGCCGTACAGATAATTCTATACGCCTTAATGGGAATTGGTGGTATCACCTTGATTACTGCTCTCTTCGGGTGCTGTGGAGCTTACCACGAATCACAATGCCTATTGGCTGCTTACTTCACCATTCTTATGGTCATTTTTGTCACCCAGGTTACAGGTGCCACACTTGGCTATGTGTACAGAGAGGATGTAAGTTTTACCAATGTGCCATTATCTCTCGTTATGTTGCCGGTTTCCTTTTCGAATTCTTTCTATATGTTATCTGATGCTGAGAAATCCACTTCAGCTAATGTGCGCCTTGACTACTTTTACTGCATATCACTAGCTTATTGGGCCTTCTAGATGTCTAGGATACGTTCACTTTGCCTATAGTAAACATGCAGCCAGTTACCCGTGCTTCTTCTTTAGCCATGTTTGTCAACTTCCATTCACTGTCTTTTGCACCCATATTTCATCTATACACTCTAAAGGATTGACCTAATCTTTATTCACGTGAATGCTTACCTTTCATTGGTGTGCAGTTTTATGGCTATTTTTCGTAGAATGTATCGTATTACCTCTGCTCACGAAGCAGCAAGACACTTGTGAGTTGACCCCACTTGTTTCAAGTTTTTACTTCCACCTTTAATCGTATACCCGTCAGTGCTAGTCATTTTGGAGTATACATCTCTCACCGACAGAAGACTAGTTAGTATACACCCAGTCTTGATCGCCGCATCGAAAACCAACATCTGGGAGCAATCATGGTTTATCATGTCGTGAGGCCACGCTGGATCCCTTCTTATCTCTTTGGTAGACCTCATATATCGTTTCTTTGTTGCGGTATAATAGTTGGGTTGTTTCTGGTCTCTAACTAACCTGGTGTGAGTGATCGTTTCCGTTTAAATGTTTTTCTCGGTTGATCAAGGAGGTTAGAGTATTATTGTCCGGTGATACTAGAGTCATGAGGTATGTATTCCACAACAGAATTCTGTCTTTATTTTCTAAAACGGACGCTGTAACTCTGATGTATCGCTGAATGCATACCTTTTATCCACTAAGACCCACTTTTATGTCCTTCCTTTGACTGTTCCTTGGTTTTAAATTCATAGGACTCAAGCCATGTTTTATCTTCAGTCACTAACATACTCAGACAGTCTTGCGCGACTTCAAAATAAGTCAACTTGGCTTCGAATCCCTCAACTTGTTCCTTCATTCTACCTCTGCTTATACGCTTAGGCACCCACTTCTTTGAAACGTTACGCATCTTAAGCTTACTGGAGATAACAAATCCAAAAACCTCCCGTGAAACATCTAGCATCTGATAAATCTTTATCGGATATTCGCGGATCTTCCGTACTCAACTCACTGACAGGGTTGCAAGTTGCCATACGGATTTAATCTTTAGTGCCGAAATGCCCAGTCTTGAAACGAGGTATCCAGGCACTTGTGGTTGCAGGATCTCAGTGTGAATCTCCTTCGCCGTTTTTTTCCGAATAAACAAAACTGCATGGCTACCTGTAACTTTAACCATGTAAAACTCACTTCCTTCTCTGCCCTCACAGCTTATATCTAAAGCTAAAATCAGTTGTGAGAACCGCATATGTGTGCGGAAGTATTTTCACATTTATTTCCCAGGATGTTAGATGTTGACCGATGGCCCAAGGCATTATTTGCCTGTATTGAGACCCGGAAGTCACCGGTTCGAATCCGCAAATGCGTGCGAGACCTTGTAGTATAACTAGCCCTCGCGCGACATGGCTGACTGGCATGGGAGCATCAGTAGTATGCCGGCGTACTGTTGATGTGCTGCTTTAGTTGATTTTTTTGGTTTACTACACCAATTGACAGTTAGCAAAGATCACCATGACAGCCCATCTGTATGCATACCACTTTTCCAGGACTTGAAGAGTTGGACAAACACGCTCCCCCACACCCTCTCGAAGATCAGTTAACGGTCACAGTTTGCTGGATTTGGGGAGTTTGAGAGAAGCGACACAACACTCGGTTCTGTGATTCTTTTTGAAATTGATATGACTGTTGCTGATTACGATCAGCCTTTGTTAACTTGAGTCCGCAACATTTCGCAACATTTCACTCTCGTTAAAAAGCAGGGTTTCTAATGCCTGCGAATGTTAACACATTCTTGTAGGTAACATTCGTAGGCTTTGGGCCTTTGATGATAGTAGGTTAAGGTAGACTACCTGTATGTAGTGCCATCATCGAGTACACGATGACGATGTCTAACTACCTCTTGGGCAAGACGAAATTTCCCCTCTAAATGTAATCCGTTGCGCCTTTTGAGATGGTTTGAGCACGCTCTGCGCATGGCTAACGAGCATTTGATATGCGGTGCTGTTTCTGCACACAGGTCTTCATTGGAAGAGGCCGCATTGAGTCCAGTCGAATATTTAGCAGGAGCTTGAGTTCATTAACATCTTATCTATCTCTCTTAGAGAAGAGCATGAGCAACCGAGTACCATCGCGCCCACTGACGAATCATGGATGGAATCTACTATTACTTCGCTCTTGCTACGTCCACTGGCTCTTCTGTCTCCATTGCTCAACATCCACCCACAGATCGTCCCACATTCCGTTCTTCAACTACACTTTTGCCCCCTGCCACCACCAACGGCAGCTCACTGGTTACACCTAACGGAAGTCAGAGTCAAACTTTTGACGTTCGATGTCAGGCGACCATAGACTTCCCACACTTCATCGGGACCAGTTTTTCCTCTATCTGGTTCTCCATCCGGCCTCCCAGCATTTAATGTTTGCACTCTGGTGCAGATCGGATAGCAACCTTGTTTGGCCCACATCATTGAGACACTCTGGGTAGATATTTGCTGCCTTTCGGAAACCAGGTTGCAAGATTCCAGTACCATCACCAGATTGAACTATCCGGCAAATTCTGACGTCAAATCCTATTTGCGCCTTTCTGAGGACCCAGAGTCTGTTGCTTCTGGCCAAGCTGGTCTCGGGGTTATGCTGAGTGACAGGGTTGAGACCGCTCTGCTTGACAGGGTTCTAGTCAACAGTCGGCTATGTGCGATCACACTACGAGGTTCATTCAAATTAACTAACCTTCGAGATGTCAAGCGTGCCTTATTTGTCATCGCCTACGCTCCTATAGACTGCAGCCTGAATGCAGTCAACGATTGCCTTTACTAGCAACCAGGTGACCGTCTGCGTTCTTCCAAGCAGTTTGTTATTGTCATTCTTGCCGGAAATTTTAACGCTGCCTGCCACCAAGCGAGCGCCATCTTGGGGTAGTTTTGCCCTCGGTAGCATTCGTCCGACAATGGAGACAGACTACTAACTCTTTGTTCTGATCATCGCTTGTTTAGTGTGAGCACGAGTTTTCAACACTTGAAGTGACAGGCTGCTATCTGGGGCTCGCCATCTCAAACGCAAGAGTGTTTCCAGCTTGACCACACTCTACATTCATTTCTTCATTCATTACACGTTAGCTAGTGATGAGGAGCCTCAGTTATTCTGCTGCACACAAAAAAACGGAAATATTATTCAACAGAAATACACAAGCTGAGCCACCAGAAACGGATGGGCATTGCTTCGGGGAGCTAACAACTGGCTATTGTTCCGCAAAAAGTTATGCTTAAGAAATGAGATCGTGGTTGGTGAAAGAGGTTAAGCGGGAGGAGAAGAAACAAATGCTAATGACGCAGGTTCTTAGCCATGTCAACTAGTGTGTCCAGCCAACCGCGCTCATCTTCCTTCACAGTAACCTACAGTTGGCGCGGATGCTTAATAGACTGCCGATCGTACTGATCAACCTGTCTGGACTCCGATCACGCATTGGTGCAATTGATTTTAGTGGCAATATGCAAGAAGGGAAGCCTCATCAGCTTATAACCATAGAGGTACTAGCCTAACACCGGTGATGGTAAAAGTACTAGCCCCTCTTCTCGTTCATCACCTCACTGCGGAACGCGGATCCCGAATTAGGGAAGAGCAAGCGGGCTTCCGCCCAGGGCTGGGATGTATAGACCATATATTCATTCTACGGCAGTTGCTGGAGGAGCGCCACACATACTGCAGGCCGACAGTAACTGTGTTTCTGGACTTCCAGAGTACGTTGGACTCAGTAGATCGATACATTCTGCTTGAGATACTTGTGCGGAAAGACGTTCTTATGAAATCTGTGAACGTTTTACGTTTCCTGTACTCAAACACCACAGGCTGCGTCAGGCTCGACGGTTACTTGTCGGATGCCTTTCCCACAACAAGTGGCAATCGCCATGATTTCCCAGTTTCCATATTTTTGTTCGTCCGTCATGAACTCCATCATGGAGTATTCCCTTGTAGAATCTCACGATGCAGGCGTTGTGGTGTTGCCTGGTAAAATGCTAGTTGATCCTGATTATATGGACGATCTTACCTTCCCTTTCAACGATGTTGGGATGTACTAATCAACCCTGAATAACCTCACCAAAGTGGTCCCATCATTTGGCATGCGCTTCGCACCTTCAAAGTGCAGTGTTATGGGACGACCATCCATTTGATAACCCCTTAACCCTTGAAATCGAGGAACTCTAGGTAGTCAGTTGATCACTTCATCTACTTTGTCTGCTGCATCAGCAGCCATGAGCCCATAACAACTGAAGCCAATTTACGCATTGCCAAAGGTATAACTACCTTTTTGTCTCCGACAGCTGTGGCGTCAGAAAGTGTTTTCCCTCAGTCTGAAAGGCCGTGTTTGCAAGGCCACAGTGAGGACCATCCAACTGTATAGCAGTAAGACAGCTCCTTCGGCGACTTAAAGTCTTTTATAATTTTGTCTGCTGGGCTTTGCTGGTGTTGGATGGCACTAGCGTGTCCGCAACGATGTGCGTAGACAAGTGCTAGGCAGTGATAATCATGTTCGTTTCTTTGAACAACAGATAGCACTTAGTAAATTACTTTGGCTTGGGCACGTACTACGTATGCCTTGTCATATCTTACTGAAGGGGACGTTATTTTGTTTGCCAGATATAGGGTGGCGCAAGGCCCTAATTGGAAAAAGGTTTAGTTGGCAGCCAGAAATGAAGTCACTGACGCCCAAACTCGGTGCCGTTGGTTCGTCTGGCGTAGGGACCAGTCGACCGTCGCAGTCTCCCTAACCCTAGCAGCGGCGAAGCGTCGGTACTGCGTAACGGCGTACTGCTTATGTCTTTACTTATTTGATTTACACGTACCCCACCAACCGTTTT